ACTTGTCCTCCAAGAACTTATTTTTGAACCCAGTTATACTTTTGACTTTCACAACATTCCCTGGCAATAAGTGCTATAGGTTGATTCTGTGTTCATAGAATATCAGGGTTGGAAGAGACCTCAGAAGATCATCTAGTCCAACCCCCTGCTCAAAGCAGGACCAATCCCCAGACAGATCTTTGCCCCAGATTCCCTAAATGGCCCCCTCAAGAATTGAACTCACAACCCTGGGTTTAGGAGGCCAATGCTCAAACCACTGAGCTATCCCTCCTGTGAAGTATAGGTTACATACCAGTTAGTAGTTTTGCAATTTCACAAATGAGTTCCTTCAGAACTCTTCGGTGAATCCCATCTGGTCCTGGTGATGTATTACTGTCGAATTTATCAATTTGTTCCCAAGCCTCCTCTATTGACACCTCAGTCAGGGACTGACTTCTTCGAGTGCTCCGTTAGCACCTCGATCATCCTGTGGCACCACTGATTGTTTGGCAGCCTTCCTGCTTCTGATGTACTTAAAAAAAAATAATTTGCTGTTAGTTTTTGAGTCTTTGGCTAAATGCTCATCACATTCTTTTTTGGCCTGCCGAATTATACTTTTACACTGCACTTGTCAGAGTTTATGTTCCTTGCTATTTTCCTTGGTAGGATTTGACGTCCACTTTTTAAAACATGCCTTCTGGTCTCTAACTGCCTCTTTTACTTTGTTGTTTAGCCACGGTGGCTTTTTTTTTGGTCCTCTTACTATTTTTTTTATTTGGGGGTAGACATATTGTTTGAACCTCTATTATGGTGTTTTTCCAAAAGTTTCCATGCAGCTTGCAGGCATTTCACTCGTGGGTTTTTTTTTTTATTTCCATTTAACTAGCCTCCTCATGTTTGTGTAGTTGCCCTTTTTGAAGTAAAATGCTACTGTGGTGGGTTTCTTGGGTATTCCCCCCCCCATGAAGGTAAATTTAATTACATTAGGGTCATTATTACCAATCGGCTCAGTTATATTCACCTCTTAGACCAGATCCTGTATACCACTTAGGACTAAATCAAGAATTGCCTCTCCCCTTGTGGGTTCCAGGACCAGCTGCTCCAAGAAGCAGTCATTAATGGCGTCTAGAAATTTTACCTCTGCATCCCGTTGTGAGGTGACAGGTTCCCAGTCAATATGGGCATAGTTGAAATCCCCCATTATTATTGGGTTTTCTGTTTTTGTAGCTTCTGTAATTTTCCCAGGGATTTCACAGTCACCATCACCATCTTAGTCATGTGGTCAGTAGAATATTCCTACTGCTCTACTCTTACTGTTTAAGCATGGACTTTCTATCCATAGAGATGCTATGGTATTGTTTGATTTCTTTAAGATTTTTACTGTGTTTGACTCTATGCTTTCTTTCATATAGTGTCACTCCCCCACCAGCGCGACCTGTTCAGTCATTCCTCTATATTTTGTACCCTGGTATTACTGTGTCCCATTGATTATCATTGTTCCACCAAGTTTCTGTTATGCCTATTATATCAATATCCTCATTTAATGCCAGGCACTCAAATTCACCGATTATATTATTTAGACTTCTTGCATTGATATACCAGCACTTATAAAATGTGTCAATATTTAGTTGTCTGCCTTCATGTGATGTAACTGAATGGGATTCTTTTTTATTTGACTGTTTCTCTTCCATTCCTACCTGTACTTTACCAACGTACTAGGATATAGAGTATCCCCTTTAATAAATCCACCCTCTCAAGGGATGTGTCTGTCCGAACCACATGGTCTTCCCCACCTGTCGGCTTCCCCCAGCCCTTCATTTACAAACTATTCCCAGCTTTGGCTATTTCCCAACTCTCCAATCTATGTACCTTGGTTTACTTGTGTGTAAAATGGGAATAATATTATTTCCTTACCTTTTATGGAGTGGACACGAAGTATTACTGACGACTTTGTGAAGTGGGTTGAAGTCCTCTGAACGGATCCAGGGCTATCTTCCCTCTTCCCGGGCTAGTATCACAGAGTTCAAACAGCGGCCTAACCTCGCACCATTCAGACTGGGAACAAGGCGTAAATTGGTAATGGTCAGAGTAATTAACCCTGGGAACAATTTACGCAGGGTCATGGTGGATTCTCCATCACTGACCATTTTTAAATCAAGATCGGATGTTTTTTTAGATCTGCTCTAGGAATTATTTGGGGGAAGTCTCTGGTCTGTGTCCTACAGAAGGTCAGACTAGATGATCATAATGATCCCTTCTGGCCTTGGAATCTATAAATCTAGGATCATGGCTCTGAGGGGCCACGCTAGGGTGGACCCCTGTCATTCAAACACAAGGGAGAGGTTTTTGATTGCTCAGCGTTCCTTTTCGGAGAATAATGAGCCAATCTCCTCTCCTGTTCTCTGCTCATTTCGTTCTGTTCTATCCGGGTGCCAGCCCGGCGTGGGGCTCTGTAACGATTTGTGACAGGTGATGACGCTGTCCCAGCCACGTTCACTTCTCATCGTCCCCAGCAAAGGCCTGTGACAGGCAGCGATGCAGACGGACAATGCTGCATCCTCAGGAGCCCCTGCAGCAGCAAAGTGCCTGCCTGCCTTCCCTTGTAATCAGCTGGGTAAAATGTCAGCTAGTGACAGTGCAGGAGGGAGCCAGAGCCCTCCCCCTCCCTCCCTCCTGAGGCATGTGAACACAAATCGCTTTAGACTAGTCCTGCATGAAAGGACATCTCTCTCACCCTCCCAATCGGTACCAATGGGACCTTCCCCTCCTTCTGCAATTGGCACAATCCTGAGCCCCTGCTAACAGCCCCATCTCCCCATTTGTACAACGGATACTTCCCCCCTCCCTTGAGATCCAGGGATGAGTAGCTCATAGATCCATGGGGTTAGAAGGGACCATCTTGTCTTATCCCCTGCCAAGATACAGGATTTGTTGGGTCTAAACCATCCAGGACAGAGGCTCTCCAGCCTCCTTTGGAAAACCTCCAGTGAAGGAGCTTCCACGACCTCCCGAGGCGTCTGCTCCATAGGCCGACTGTTCTTACGGTTAGGGAGTTTTTCCTGAGATTTAATCTAAATCTGCTGTGCTGTAGTTTGAACCCAACGCCTCTCGTCCTGCCCTCCGTGGCAAGAGAGAACAACTTTTCTCCATCCTTTTTATGGCAGCCTTTCAAGTATTTGAAGACTGCTCTCATGTCCCCCCTTAATCTCCTCTTTTCCAAACTAAACACACCCTGTTCCTTCAGCCTTTGCTCATCTGGCTGCATTCCATCCCTTTGATCATCTTCGTCACTCGCCTCTGGATCCTTTCCAGTTTCTCCACCTCCTTTCTATATCTTGGTGACTAAAATTGGACACAGTCCTCCAGCTGAGGCCTAACCAGCACCGAGTAGCACTGGGCAAGTGCGTTACTAGACTCCGCAGAGCATCTGGAGCTGGGGACGAGGCGTCCTGGGGAACTTCTTCCTCTCCACTGCTGCTGTCCAGGAAAAGCAGGTTCTTCAAGGAATTCATCTAGTTTCAACTTCCAGAAAAAAGTATCCCCTCCTTGTTGGACCCGTTTTTCTGGAAGTTGAAGCAAGACAAATCCAGACAGGAAATAAGGTGTACGTTTTTAACAGTGAGGGTAAGTAATCATTGAATACCTTACCAAGGGTCGTGGGGGAGTCTCCATCACTGGCAATTTTTCAATCAAGACTGGATGTTGTTCTAAAAGCTCTGCTCTAGGAATGATTGTGGGGACGTTCTCTGGCCTGGGTTATCCAGGAGGTCAGACTAGATGATCACAATAGTCCCTTCAGGCCTTGGAATGTGTGAATATGCAGTCCACTGAAGTCACAGGAAATGTACTTGCTTCCACCCAGGCTGAATTTTGTCCCTGGTCACATACATAGACAAAGCCGTGGTGCATATTATCATGTTGAGCCAAATTCTGCTCTCAGATACATCAGTGTAAATCTGGAGTAGCGCCAGTGAGGTCAGTGGAGTCACTCTGGATTCATAGATCAGTGTAGTCAGAAGCAGACCGTGACTGATACTAGCGAATCAGACAGAGTAAAAATCCACTTCAATAGCCTTGTCTGACCCTTCCATCCTTCTGGCCTTGGAATCTATGAATCTATGAAAGATGTAATCATCCTGGCCAAACGTGGCAGGGCAGAACCAGCCTTGCTGACATGCCCGGGTTTTCCAGGCCTTACAGGATTCATCTGTGCCAGGTCTTCTTTTCCTTTCCTGGAACAGATGCCAAACACTGGGGCCTTGATCGGACAGGGATTTCTCCTGAGCACTGAGGAGGACGGGGAAGCCTGGTCAGATGGGGTCTCACCTGGGAGGGAAAAAGCAAAGGCAGCAGGTCAGTTGCAGATAAAATCCCCCAGCTGGTGCTCCCGGTAGAGCAGGAGTGACTCTGACGTGCCTCTTCTGCAGCTTTCTGGAGGATTCCCCCCACTCCTGGCTGTGCCCAGCCTAGCAGGAAGGATGGGAGAACTCGGTGACCTAAGGACAGGCTTTAGGCCCAAGTCTCCATCCACGGAAGTCGATAGCAAAACTCCCATTGACTTGAAAAAGGGTCAGTTAGCTAACGAATCCCAGAGCGGCCTCATTAGGCCCACCATAAACAGCCCTGCGTGGAGCGGCGCAGTCACCTCACTTCTGGGACCAGCCAGGTGTAAACGGCTTCTCCTTGCACTGCCAGCAGGGGTAGTGCACAACTGATGTCTTGTATCTCAGAGCGCCAATGGCCAGTCCCTAGACAGCCCGAAAGAGTTAGAGGACAGGACCTAGGGGATGTTCCTGAGTCACAACAGACCCCTATACAGCTCAGCTAAGAAAAGGCATCTCCAGGTCTCACTGGACCAATTTCCCCCGTGACTGTCCTCTCGGCAGCCTGTGGATATCAATCCATGGGAAGAAGACTCTGGGATTGACTAATACCAAACTCTCCTTACACCAGACACCGATAACAGAGGCTAGTTTAAGCTTATTAATAACGGCGCCAGAAGAAAGACAGAACGGCTGAGGCCTGGTTTGAAGTCCCTTTATTGGAGGTGCCAGGTTAAGGTGGCCATGTGTATTTCAATCCTCTACAATTCTTCCTGGGATTCTGGCTTCTCCTTCACCAGGTGTTTCTTCTGGGGGCCCTAAAACACAAGTGAAATGGTGAGAAGAAGAGATCCCATTGCCACAAGCTGATGAGTTCAAGATCCACATTACAAGCCTTCCCCAAGTGTTACCTAGAGAGGCAGTAGGTGAGCTGGAGGCTGTGGAATTTCTATTCAGACGTGACCCCTTTTCACTGCACAAGGCTTGCAACACTAGCTGTTCACTTCTATTCCCTGGCTGCTAACCCTCAGCTCTCCTCCTGAACGGCAGCAGCTGTGTAGCTGTGGGCTCTAGAAACCCTCCTAACCCTGGAGGAATGGGGGTAATGAATTGCCCGTCCCTGAGCTGGCAGTTTGCTTAGCTGAGCAGCATGGAAAGCTGGCCTATGTGCTTCGAAGACTGGTTTGCTACTGAGCCCGGCAAGCTGGCCTGGGGTGATGGGGAAGATTGAATGGTAAAGTAATCATATTGATTACACTATTATAGCATCATGACTGTGACCGGCTAGATGAGGTTGTGTCAGGAGAATTTCCTATACAATCCCCTGTTTCAGGAGGTTGCATATGACAACTCCTTCTGAGCAGAATTTTGGAGCAGAAGGGGTTTCTGGTTTGGGTTACCATCAAGGGGATAGATTCTCAGCTGGTTAAATCGGCTGAGTCAATGGAGCTACACAGATTTACACCAGCTGAGGACAGGGTCCCGGCTCTTCTAGTTTACAAGAGTGGGAGGAAATGGTGGTTTGGGGGCTATTGTTTTGCTTCTGCCCAGCTAAATGTTACTGAATTAAATTAAAATGTGGGGAAGGTTCTGCTGCTTTAAAATAACGAGCTTAATGGAGCAGTCTTCCTGTGGCCACTTAAGACTTAATCAATGTCACCGTGCTGCCACCCTGGCCACTCGGAGGTGACAGCAAGGACAGAACTCACATCTTCCTGCTCCAAAAGCTCAGCCCCCTAGCACATGAGCAAAAGGAGAATCTCCAGCAGTGGTTAGTGCAGAAGCTACAGCCCTATGCATTAACCTCCAGCCATCCCGAGAGTGATGTGAAGGGGTTTCATAGCCAGTCCTTCTTACCTGGAGAGAAGTTAAACACATGTGAAACTGACTAGCCTAGTAGTCAGTCGGCCAGATCCAAACCTGGTTTAAATCAGCATCGCACTATTGGAGCCAGGCTGATTCACACTGGCTGTGGATCTGGTCCACTTCGTATCTAGTCAATTTCACTTTCCGATTGCTACCACAGCACAAGGTGGTGGCGGGGTGGGGGGCAAACTCTATAAAGGAATGTCTGTCTGGTTTTTTGTTTATAAACCTGTTTCCACTGGGATTTTTAAAAGGTACATGATTTGGGCTTTGAAAAGCTTATTTACACAAAATCCCAAATATGAGGCCAAATCCGACCTGACCTTTTTCCTTTAAAAACATTAAAAGTTTAAGGCAATCCAACCAAATCAAAGAAATGTACAATTCGGAGCGAAAGACACCATATGTCCAACAAGATGCTGCCAATTTAACGGCTTGTTGAATGCATCCCACTGTGGGTGCAAACTGGCTGACCATATGGTGCATTATTTGCTGGCTTTGGCTGGCTTGTATGACTCTCTCAACCATCATGTTCCCTCCTTAGCATTGCTTCTGGCAGCTGAACTGCCTTTTATGCAAGACAGTCCTGTTCATTCATTTGGTGGTCTGTATTTTCTGGGCCAGGCCCTCAGCTGGTATTAATCGGAGCAGCTCCTTTGAAATCGATTGAGCTAGGTTAATTGACACCAGCTGAGAACCTGGCCCTTTGATTGAGAGAATTCACTCACCATGAAAGCTCTCTTCTCTTGAGCAGTCTGGAAGCAGCCGTGGCCAAACTTGGAAGTGGTATCAATGAACTTCAGTTCGATGGGTTCCAGAGCCCGACGGCTGCTGTGCACCAGAAGGGACTGGAGAGGAAAAGTCACAACACATTAGGCTTATCTTTAACCAGAGATTTGAAAGCATGCTTTGATGTGAGTGGAGTTAAGACATTTCACGCATGTCCATCAGCCAATCACTCCAGCAACAGTGGTTTCCTCGGAGACACACCCAGAGTAGCATGACTTTGAGTGCCATTGCTTCTCAGTGCTCACTTGGAACTGAAACGAAGTAGCCGAGTGTGTCAGATCATGCAACGATCGCTTCCAACGAACAGCAAAACAGTTCCTAAGGGAGACGAGACTGGCTGATCTGAAACTGGAAACACCGTTATCAGCGAGAATGGCCTGGCAACACACCTCTCTGGGAAATGGCCCCCTGGAAAATCACTACCTGACTCACAAAGTCAGCTCCTTCCTTACGTGTGCGCAGCCTCAGCACTTAATTTCGAAGGGGGGAGGAGTTTACCTTTCTGAGAGTGAGCACACGTTTCTTAGTGCCCATGACGCAGCCCTTCAGCATGAGGAAATCATTGTTGACTGCACCGTAGTGAGGAAATCCACCCTGTGGGGAAAGGCAGAGGTCAGGATTGCAGTAGTGAGATGTGTGGCTAACAGATATGCACCAGCAAGTGACATTTGCTATAGGAAAGCTGGGTATTTATTATTTAATTATTAATCATCCTAATTATTAACTAACCATTAATATGCTTTGCGCTTATCATACACAGCGCAGCCCGCCCGTGAGGTCTACAAAATACTATTATCATTTTACACGGGGACAAGCTGTCACAGAGGAGAGAGCTGGCTGCAATTTTTTGTTCAAAGCCATTTTTTAAAAAATGGGAAATTGACTTTTTGTCCAAACTGACATTTCCAACTTCGATGAGATTTTTCTGGGTTTTTGCTGACAAACCAAAAGCCTGTAAGGCAAAAACGCCAGCTGAAAACAATTGTGTGTTGTTGTTTTTTGGGTGTGGAAAAGCAAAACCTCTGCAGCTTTTCGTTACTAAAAAGGAAACAAAACAAAAAGGAAGACAATCAAAATTTGTGTGGCCAGAAAAAATATTTCCCAACCAGCTTTTCCCCAACAGAAACCATAAGTGACTTGCCCCAGGCCACGTCTCTGGACAGTGGCAGAGTCGGGAATGCAGGAGTCCCAGCTCCAGCCCCACCACTTCCTATTTCTTTAGCCCTTTTACCAGCGGCGTGATCATCTTCTCAGTGACGTCGTAGTTCGTCGCGGCGCTGTTCTTCACTATTTTGCCATCTTGTACGTGGACCCCACGGCCAATACGGTAAATCTGGGTGAGAGCCCAGGTTGAAATGGAGTTAATGGCTTTAGGCCACATTTGCAAACAAAGTGTCACAAACTGAGCACAAAAAGCAGAGATGCCGGGTTGGGACAAAACTCATAGGCTCATCTCAGATGTCGTCAGCAGGCAATGGCTAGAGCACATCCCCGCCCCCAGGCACAGATCATTGTGTCTGGACGGTGCCTAGCACAACGGGGTCATGGTCAGTGACTCAGGCCCCTAGGCACTATGGTAATAAAAATAACCAATAACAATAACACCACCAAACGAAGCCCTAAATTCCCTCCTGCCCTGAAATGATGTGCATGACAGAGAGATAGGACAGGACAGGAGAGGGAAGGGGGCTCGAAAGAAGGAGAAGCTGCACTAGGCCCAAGGGAGGTGTCGCATCGGTGCCATACCTTCTTGTTGAGCTCTGTGCGATGGTGGTAGCCCTTCTGGCCAGCCCGGGCAATGGAGTAGCCCACCCGGGCTGGATGCCAGGCTCCAATGCAGGCGACTTTGCGTAAGCCTTTGTGAGTTTTCCTTGGGAGCTTCTTGGCATGCCAGCGGCTGGTCACCCCTAGGAAAGCAGGACAGGATGATGCTGTCAGGAGCCCAGGGGGACGGGTGCTGGTGCCTCAGAGCCAGAAATCAGAGCAAGTGTCTGTGGGGTTTGTCTTATGTTGCATCTCAAGTTATGAGAAGACGGTGGGTCAGGTTGAGGCAAACAGCCATTTTCAGAATCGGGGGCCCATGGACGGAACTGTACTCGCTCCGCATTAAACTGACTGGACTATGGTGTCTCCCACACACACACACACACACACACACACACACACACTGGTTTTGTCAGCACTGAAATGACTTTTTGTCCTTATTTTGTTTACTTCAGATTACAGCAAGCCAAGTGCCCTTAGGGCTCCCATGGGAACTAAGCCCATAACTGATGACAGGGCATTTTGAACCAGGTAAATGGAACCAAATCTGCTAAAAAGAGAACAGACGTATGGGTACAAATCCAGCGACTCTTTGGTGTCCCTCATGAAATGAGTTGGGGGGCTCTCAGTCTGGCTGCTGCTCAGCCTACATCTCAAGGACGACCACCAATACTGGCACTGATTGTCCCCAACGTTGGTCGTCTCGGCTGTGAGGCCGAGGATGAAATGAGGGAATGAGAAATGAACTCCCCTCTTGTCCTCCGGAAGAGGATCCCCAGGACATGGAGGGATTGCCGTGTACAGTATGTGGGACACCCGCACTACCACTGCCTCTGCTGTACCTGCTCTGGGAATAGGCATTTCACCGACACTAAAAACAATGTTTTAAAGAAATGTACAGTCATAATAAACTGGAGTCTGTTCTCCTCTGGATGTCACACAAGGGGAAGCTTCTATGCATCAATGTTAATTATTCACAATGACGCATGGATTCTTCACTGTGTTTAATTGTGAATTACTATTAATTAGATGAGGTCAAGAAGCCGTGCCTTGACAATGACAGATTAGTATATAATTACTATGAGTAATAATATTAAGTACTCAGCACTCGTATGGCTTTTTCATCCATAGATCTTGAAGCACTTGCCACAGCTGTCAGTGTCGCTATCCCCATTCTACAGATGGAGAAACTGAGGCACAGAGAGGGCAAGCGACTGGCTCAGGGCCACAGAGTGAGTCGATCTGAGCACTGGGATTATAATTTAGGTCTCCCGACTCCCAGTCCTGTGCTCACTCCACTACAAAACGGCTCCCCCAAGAGCATCAAGGAGGCCCCACAGCACAATGCCCTAGCAATGTGTAAGCACCCCTCTGCCCATCCTCCTCAGAGGATCCATGCCAAGCCCCATGGCAAAGGGCCCTCCCTCCCCCTGTACCTTTCATCCCGCGCCCCTTGGTCACCCCGATGACATCGATCGTTTCATTCTGGCTGAAGACCGCGTGCACAGAGACCTGCTTCTCCAGCTTCTCGTGAGCCCAGTCCACCTTGTCGGCCACCGTCCCGCCGTTCAGCTGAATCTCCATCACGTGGGCCTTCTTCTGACGTAGAGGGAGCAGCTTCATCTGCATTGGGCAGCGAGGGCCAAGAAATGACACCAGGCCTGTGGGTGTGAACGTGTTCCCGGGGCAATATCCCTGAGTGCTGGGAGGAGGAGACAGGGCCCGCTTGGACCCAAGCGGGCTGTTTGCGGTTTAGTCTGCCTGAGTCTAGCTAATCTGTCTACCCAGGGGTACGTAAAGCACCCACTCACCATGCTGTCTCCCCAGCAGCGAAGCCCTAGACATGGCATTTCAGGGTCTCTTGCTTTTATTATATCTCAGCATGGCTGCAGACTCCTGGCTGGGGACGGGGAGAAGAGCACTCACCCGGGGGCGGGGGGGGGGGGGTCCTTTCGCCCCGGGAAAGAGCGAGGCAAGGAAGTGGCACCTGGCTTTACTCTCCCGTCACACCAGCCAGGCAGCAGCATGAACAGGACTCTGAGGGAGCTGCCTCCAGCCCCTGCAGCTTGGGGACAAGGCAGCCTGAGAGAGAGAGAGGATGGAACCGAGAGAGGCAGAATCCGAGAGGGTCCTCCACAAACTAAACCCTGACAGGGAAAAATAACCCATCAAGCCTTGGTGTGACTGAGGCACATCCAGTGCACACACTCACTTGCTGAGCACACACACCCCTTCACTAAGCATCCATCCCCATGTGTGCGCACACATCTATATATGCATGCGCACACAGCATATATGTACACACTCACTAAGCACACACACTCGCTAAGCACACACGCACACGCTCACTAAGCATATATCCCCCA